CTGTGGCAGACCCCTCAGGCCTTAGAACACAAAGAGCGAGGGTGACTGAGTGAGGAATGATTCTTTCCCGCCTCCCTCTGACGCCTACGTATTTTTCATATTTTTATTGAGAGAGCTTTTTTAAACATTTTACTTTTAAGAATTTCAAACATATATAAGATTAGGCAGAAGAGTTAAACAAGCCCCCTTGCATCCATCATCCAGCTTCAGTAATGATGGAACCATGACCAATCTTACTGTATCTCTATCCCCATCCATTACACCCTCCCCTTTTATTTTGCAGCAAATCCCAGACATCGAATTATTTCATCTGGAAATATACCAACAAGTCTTTAAAGTATGCGAACTCAGACTCCTTTTTTAAAAATTATGGCCAAATAGCATTATCACACCAAGCGGTATCACTTCTGTGTTAAAATAATAACTGATTTCTGGCTTCATCATTCTGGTTTTTTTTGTTTTGTTTTGTTTTGTTTTTTTTGCGGTACACGGGCCTCTCACTGCTATGGCCTCTCCCGCTGCGGAGCACAGGCTCCGGACATGCAGGCTCAGCGGCCATGGCTCACGGGTCCAGCCGCTCCGCGGCATGTGGGATCTTCCCGGACCGGGGCACGAACCCGTGTCCCCTGCATCGGCAGGTGGACTCTCAACCACTGCGCCACCAGGGAAGCCCCACCATTCTATTTTTTTACATGATAAAATCTAAGCAGAATTTGCAACATTTCTCCAGATAGGCTTAAATAAAAATTAAAATAAAAAAAACAAAGCTTAAGATTTACCTGAAGTCCTCTCTTAGGATTATAAATTAATGCAGATGTTGGAACCTCTACTAAGTACCTATGAGAACTGCAGCAACGGAAAGTGAAGCAATGGGGCCCTTTATAATCCTATTTTTCCTCAAAAGGAGAACATTTCTTGAGCACCCACCACATGCAGTCAGGCCCTTGTGAGGCTGGAGGGTTCGCTCCACTTCCCAGGTGAGGAGGAACAGGTGGACAGAGGCGGCTGAGGAAGCATCTTAACTCAGGTCTGTCTCACTTTAAAGTCTGTGCATTTCTACTTCCACACACAGGCAGTTTCATTGCAGTATCACTGGAAATGCCTTCTCTCACTCCATGCCTGTGACCAGAATCAAATACCGTCAGACTGAATTTGGAAGGTCTCGCCTCTAACATCCCCACTGCACAGATGAAGACACAGAGGCCTGGAGATGGGCAGTTCCTTCCCAATGCCGTTCCAGCTAGGGAGCTGCAGGGCCAGGAATGAAATCACGCTTTATGTCTTTGAAGTGGTGCCTGTTCTCTGCACACCGTCTTATCTCTGGGTTTACAAATTCTAGCATTCCTCTTCCTGCTTTAGTCCTGGGCTTAATAACACCTTAGAACATCCCAAGGCTGAGAGCACACTTGAGAAGCTCTTATAACAGCAGGACACAAGCACCAAAGGTCACAGACAAAGTCACTCCACCACTCCACGCTGTGCCCATGAAGTATATCACAAGAGCACATGACCTTGCCGTGGACCACGTAGCAGCATGCGCTGTATTACCAAGAAGGCTGAAGAAAACTTAAGTCACATTTCAGGAGACTGCAATAATGATCGACTTCAATACCACAAAACTAAGGGTTCCAAAGAGAAGTAAGGCACACAGAGACGGTCTGAATTAGCCACCCTTATCCATCCAGTTCACATGGCTACAAGATGAAGACTGCCACCAAAGGGAATCTATTATTTCCAATATTTCCGATTCTTATTTTTATGTTCACAACAACCCTATGAGGTAGACAGAGCAGGTTTATAAGTAGCTATTGACTAGTTTCATATTTTGCACCGTGCCAGTTACAGTGCCTGGACAAGTTTAATAGAGCACGTATTTTCTGAGCACTTACCATGTGCCAGGAACTACGAGAAAAACACAAGGAATAGTTCTTGCCCTCTGAGAGCTTAGAATCTGATTAAAGAGATGGGACCACGTACACACACGCCACAGAACTATTTAGAGGAAGAGGCAAGGCAGCCAGGACTTTTCAGAGAAGAGAAAGCAGAGTGGCCAACCTCGGCCTGTTCCACAGTCTTTCTTTAAGCTCTGAAATGTGCTCATCCAGTCCTGGATTCCTTGGAGAGGAGGGGGCACATGCAGAGACCAGCTGACAGCCGAAGACCTAAGGGACTATTTATGACAAGAAAGAGGGAAGGAGCAGATGCCTTCATGGTGCCCTGAGACAGGAGGTCCATGTAAAGTAGCAGATCTTTACAATACTTGCCTGTAGCCTGAAAGGCAGACTAAGTCTTTTTCCCCTCAACGCTGATGGAGGAGTCTCAGAACTAGGTTTCCACAGTGATTACAGAATCCCGCTAATGCACAAGCTTCAGGCTTTCCCATTCATTGTTGTGATGCACAGATACATTTCTATAACGTTTTGTTCACTGTAACTAAAGTCTCATCTTTTTCAAAAGCCCATAATCACACATGTGATGATTTTAATGTCACCAATATGTTCACATTTTCTTATGAAGAATCAAACTTCAAACGGCCTTTAATACTCAATGAGGAAAGAGTTCTATAAGATGGAAATCAAGAAATCTTCAGAATTTTAGCACTCCTTATCTAAAAGTAGTTCTGAGATTCTGAAATTACACAGTATTATCACCCATCCCATCACCCCCAATAAAAAACTCCAGTAAAGGGACCAAAAATAAAGTTCACTAAAATTCAAGATTTCAGCTGTTTAAAGAAGAGTTGATTTAAAGCATTACAAATGACTAAGTACAAATTAATTGTATTCTATAGATAGTTAAATCATAATACATTTCATTCAACACTGTGGTCTGCTTCTCTTAAAGCTTTGCTGTAAAAGAGAACAAAAGTTTGCGTGTCATATACTTAAGAAAAGTATATACGAGACTAAGGAAAAGAAGATATGAAGCTTCTATTCCCCTCCAACACACACATTCTAAATTAGGGTTAAAGTACCAACATCATCTCCATTCACAAAGAAGAAAATGGATTTTAATGAACAGGCATTAAGTAAAACCTAGAACCTACAATTTTTCCTGTCCCTATTTGAGGACAGAAAAATACTTTCCATAAATAATGTGACATGAGTTTCTTATTCACACTGTAAAACCCCTGGGAATATTGGCTTTTGTTTTTTGTATACTTAAACCTTTCATGCAAACCTTACCTTAAAACTGAAAAATAATAGTAAAGGAGAGAGAAGTACCTAGATGTTCTTACAGATTCCCAGGACTGGTGACAACAATGCACTATTCCTGGCTTTGCCTAAGAGCCCAAGTAACATATTCTGACTGGTTTTCTGTACTTTTTTGCCTCCCTCCAACATGTATGACTTGAACAGATTTACTGTTATTTAAGTTGAAGAACATACTGTGAAATAAAAGCGACATTGTGAAATATACCGTTTTCACTTTTCCATCAGGCTGCCTTCTCCAAATAAGATGTTACAGTCTGTATGTTTTGTTAAACTTAAACACGGGGTATGTAGGAATTTATTTTATTAAACTGATGCTAATGCATTTAGATTAAGAAAACAGAATTCCTGAGAAATAAAAAACATCCTTCTGTGGTTTGGTTAAAAAAACAAAGGTAAAGAACTACTTAGTTTGGAGGATATAGAGTTTAACTTGATGAGTGTCAGCCTAGAAAATCCAGGTGAACACGTGATTTTTTTCTGAAGGTTTGTCTACAATGAACAAGCAATTATTAATAACCAACACATAGTCTTTTCTTTCACGATGCTCTACTGCCTAAGTTTGGGGTTGAATCTCTGTGACTCACTCATTATGTCACGCAGACTGTGGGGTTATGTTCTCGGCGGACATACTCCACAATGTGCATTTCAGAGCTACCACAGTCTACGCTGAACATAAAGATGAAATGATATGCTCTACGTGATGGGGGTCTGTTTCAGACACTGACTTACACGGAAGAGAAATATATCATGAGATGCCATACACCCTGCCACATAGTGCTCAGGAATGGGGACATTACTGGAGAACCCTCTAAATGCAACCATCGAGATCCCTGTCCTCGATCCCTGGTACATCAGTATCCTAACCTCTTGAATGGGGTCCCAGAGGAACTCATGCGTACTGATTGTTGTAAGAGTGAGAGTTTATTAACACTTAAATTTGATTGCTCAGTTACAAAACACTGCTAATGTTTTGTTTTGGTTGTTTTGAATAAGGGATACACAGATAAGATTAAGATTAAATATGTATTTAATTGATGTCCTTTTTGCGGTCACGTGTACTTGCCTCTGTGATGCTGTTTTAGTAAGACAGGTAGGCAGTGCTTTCTCCCTTAAATACAAAAGGTGGTCAGCCAATGCTGCAAGGAATCACATCGCGGTGATTATGATTTTTACTAGTGAAGCTATAGATGTTAACAATTATAAAATCACCCACATCGTTTTAAAAAATCTAGCTGTGTTCTTAAGTCCTTACACTTTCAGTAGCCATAAACTGCCAATTTGGCTACGTTATTGCTCAATAAGCTTTCTTTTGCTTTTAAGTGCTTTTCAAACTCACTATCAACTATAGAAAAGGGTAAAAACAAATGTCAAAAGAGAAATCCATCCAAAAACAGTAACATTCCCATAACTGTACTCTGTAATTTCCTAACTTAGCAAGAACCAAACTATCTTGGCATTGAGGTTAGAGCCCCATCTTATTTTTTTAATACTTCCTCTGCGAGTTGGATTTGAATTAGTTTCCCAAAACATTCACCAATTTAAATAAAGCCGTACGGTCACTATGCCTTCCTAAATTCAAGACCTTATCTTTCCTACGTTAGTAATATTTGAGGTTGCAAATGGGTGAGAATCAACCATGGTCTCAGATGATTTTTACTCAAGAGAGAAAAGCTGAAGCAAGTGAAAAATCAGAAGTGTTCTGCAAACCTTAGAACACTCTGGAGGTAAACACTGCCACTCTCTTAAAGAGAAGGGGGTGGGGCATCGTCGGAAACTTCTGCTTACCCCTTGTTCAGATTCCAAAAGCTCTGTTTTGACTCTGACTGCCGGCATCCCATCAAGCATTAACATTCTGTTCTCAAGGGTGTTGAAATTCTGAGAATAAAAAAGAGAGAGAGGGAAATTCAGCTATAAAGCGTTCAGAAGAGGACAGCTAGTAGAGTCTGCCTTCATTGTAGTACATTTAGTACTGCTAACCTAATTTTTTAACAATATAGTATAATTAAAGGAGAACATCAGCATAGCCAATTATCCCCCCATGCTGAACTTTCATTTGAAATAATGACCAAGAACTTGAATTAATCAGTCTGATTCTATGACCCCTGGGTTGGAGGTCAGACGGTAATAAACTGGAGTAAGGCAACCTTACGTTAATTTATACGGGGCCGGAATAACTCATCACACTTGCAATCGTGGAAGGAAATACCAGGCAAGTTTCTTTCTTCCTTAGCTCTGGAGGTTGTACTGTATACAGAAATCCATAAAGGAAAAGACAGATCAAAATAATTTATATACTCTCATACTACTGTCAAAGTGGAAATAACTTTAAATACAAGATACTATAATGCTGGAGAGTGAATTCCGGTATCATGGTATATCTGATCAAATGAAAATTTCTACCTTTCAACGGCAAACATCTGCTTTAAAAACAACTAACATAAATCTTGGATTAAGAGTGAATTCTTAAGCTGAAGTCATAATCAAAGAATAAACGACAATTTGGTTTCTGTTCCGGTATATGTTTGCCTCCATTTAACACCTCTTGAAGGGAAAACCTTACTTCTATTGTGGTGCAATAGAATTTCAAACATCTATAAAAAGATTAAATCAGGGTTATTTTTTGACTAATTTCCACAGCTTCGGGGATTTTCTGAAGTCAGCAACCTAGGAAGGGAGTCAGAAAGCCACACATCAGTGCTTGCTGCAGGCCAAAATCAGGCTCCTGCTTTAAAATATGTTGAGAATGCCAACTTTACCCTCAAACACTGACTAAACCAAGAAATTAAAATGACTAAGTTTGACTGAGTTTTTAGACTAGTGTCTTTGCTGTTACAGAATGTAACCACATGACACTAAGGTGGTCTTATTAAAAGAAAGAGACATTTCTAAATGTTTTGCCTACATGGTGACAAAGGTTAAATATCACTTCTAAACCTTCAGGTTTTCGCCATTCATGGAGTTGCTTTTCTCCCCAACAGACAGTTAAGTAAAAACAACTCTCACTTCAACACATCATAAATTAAACGTTTTTATTACCAAATAATACCAACAGAGTGCAGTATAGTGAAGCTCTAATTATTTCTCCCATTTCTTGACTCTCCTTTTTGTTTAAGAAAAATACTCTGAGAAATAAAATGTATGGGGCTTCTTATCACAAATATTTGCTCAGAGAAATCAACGGCAAGAAGAAAAAGCAAATTTACTCTAGAGCTAACTAATGAGCATTTAGAAATCCCGTGCTACCTAGTCTGTTAGGTAATAAAAAGAAGAAAAATTACTGTCATGTTCCTCTCTTAGAAATGTACAATATTATTAAAGCTGGCAGGATACATCATTGCTTTTACATGTTTGCTTTTGACTTGTCCATATTTTGGGGGGATTTTTGCATCCTAATAGCTTAGAACAGAAGGAACTATGGCATTACTGGTGAGCTCAGTGCATTTGTTCCAAGCTTAAAATCCTTTCACGGAGGCTGGTGGGTTGTTTACATATCAGGCATGGACCTCAAATCCCAATGTGTCACTTGCTTCCATGCTTGGAAGCAGCCAGCTTGGTCTGCTACCTCCCAACCTCAGGAAAGCCTTCCTGCTGCCAGCAGCCCTCAACTGCCGGGCCTTTCACAGCAGCATGGAATCCACCCTAACAAAGGCTCCCGTAGGCTGTTTGGTTGGTAGACAATGAAGGATGAGTTGATACTGCTTCCTACCCCGGAGGAGGTCTTGCCCAGATGGAAAGGGAAGAAGATGCCTTGCAAAGGAGGGGAAAAGACAAAGAGCGATTCTGGAAAGGCAGGTTTAATGAACTGTTAGAATCTGATTAGAGGCTAATGTCCCTTTTAGTGCTTTGTACCAATTTACAGCTGATAGACTTCAGCCGTTTTCCTCGCTGGCTGTGATAAACCCATTCATTTAAAAAAAAAAATGCAAGCTAACCAGAGTCTTTGAAGTTAAAAACGGATAAATCATAAAAAGCTGACTGGGTTCACATGCAATTTAGTACATTTAAATATCACCGTTTCCATCATAATTTTTGTTGTTGTTGTACTGGGATAATTCTAGATCGTTAAAGCCAGGGTAACACTTCAGTTTCATGTAAAAGTGAAATAATTAAACACGTTTTCAAGCATTTTTTTAAGAAATGAAGTTTGCCCGGCAAATATTTCTCTTTCCCTGATTTTTCCAGGATCAGCGTAGCACACCCATAATAGACACCATAAATAACAACGTTCACAGCTAAGGAACCCAATCCTTAATTATTAAACTCTTGCAACTAGTGCAGATTCCATCAGTACATATGCCTGAAAGTTATACTGTATATACATGAGGCATATTAATCTCTGCATTCCTGATTCTGACCTTGTTTAGCCTAAAGAGAAGGGCCGAGCATCACACCATATTCCAGACCATCCAAGAAGGTGTGTGGTTTTTGCGGAGCCCATGGTAATTATACAGCATTGAGGACATAGTCCTTGGAACAAAATATCGATAGATTTATCTCTCTACGCTAAAAATCAGATACATACAATCTCAGCTGACTTCAGACTTTAAATATGTAATAAACTCTAATAATTTGAAATTGCTGTCAAACATATCTTGTCGTGATCTTGATCAAAACGCATTTGCTGGGGAATCCAATAGCTCAATTGATTCCCAAGAGGTAAATAAGATTAGTCATCAATTTTAGTAACATGGTACTCTCTATGTTGTAACAAATATTTTGATATTATACAACCCTATATAATTTATGTATATGTGTTTATATTCATGTACACGTATCTATACACCTATGTTACTTATTTCATATGAGTAAACTGTGTCAATTACAGCCAAATTTATCATCAGATTTATTAGCTGGCTGTCGATCAATTACACATGCGCCGGATGAGAAGGGTACTCTGGATACTCCTATTTCCCAAATAAGATTTGGCAACACAGCAGTCCAGCTGAGAGTAGCTCTCCCAGTCGAAAGCAGTATAAACACAACTGTCAAGAGACCTTCAAGATGGCAGAAGAGTAAGACGCGGAGATCACCTTCCTCCCCACAAATACATCAGAAATACATCTACACGTAAACACAACTGTCATCAATCCTAGCATCTCACAATATTTTGAATGGAACCTGCAGGAAGGAAAAGGACTGATGCTCAATAATCCTCTCTCATGAAATCATAGAACAGGGGGGACTTTCCAGGGCAACTACTACAATCCACCCTCCTACTCCCAGAATGCAGGTCTCTTTCCTCTCCCTCTTCCAGACTGTGCGTCATCCACTTTGCACAGGTGGGGTAATAAAGAGCCAGCTAGTCAACATTCAACAGACCAAAGTTTTCAACAAAGCTTCCCTTCATAAGCCAAAAACATCTACTGGGATTTGTTCCGATTTCTCAAGATACAGGACATATTCACTTAAACATATTTCCATCTTGAATCTCCATGTTTGGCTACAGGTAATGAAAAATATGAATTGCCCTCACCCCTACCCGTGTTATGTTCAACAGTGATCAAAGGGACATATGAGAAGCAATTCAGGATTCACTGCATCAAGTTGATTAAGGCACGTTCGGAAAAGATTCTTAACGGGTTATAATGCAGGCATACCAACTGGTTAAAAGTATCATCCTCTGAGTACTTTTTCCTACAGAAAAAGCAGCAGCATCAGATTATAAGGAAATTCGCCTTTTGCTTGAAAACCACTTCATAGAGAAGTCAATCTCTCCCCTTTCTTGACTCACTTCTACCATAACGACAATAAAAACCAACAAAAATAACAATTGTTTTCCAAGCCTGTATGCCAGTTCAACCAATAGGTCCTTTCTTCAGAGAAAACATAAGTGTTTTATACTACCCCCAAATTTGTGCTGAAATGCAAAAGAATGAGTGAATCCCTGCTCTTCATAAGGATCGACACACCTAAGAGATTAGAATTATGCCCAGACAACAGTTTCCATTATCTATTGTTATGCAACAATAGGTAGCATAACACAACTACCATTTTATTATTATCTTGCTAACAAACGTAATAACAGCACCTACTATTTGCATATTTACTATGGACTAGACCCTGTGCTAAGAGACGTACTCATTCAGTCCTTACAGCAACCCAAGAGGTCAAGGCTTTATTATCCGAAGATGAGGCATCTGAGACACAAGGAGGTTAAACTGTCCAAGGTCACACGATTAGTAAGTGGTGCAGCTCGATTCCAAACCAAAGGAGCCTGAGCCCAACCAAGCTAAGCTCCCAACCACTACACCCCTCTCTCCCTTCCCCTCCCTCTCCTTCTCTCTCCATCTTCCTCTGTGCGCTCCCTAAATCGACGTGGAAAAAAAACATGAGCACCTTACTGAAGGCCCCAACAGAGGAGCTCTGGAATCTCAGTCGATGGCTCCTCTCAGGGCTGAACTGATTTAGTCACCGAAAGGAATGCGCAACTTCTGGTCACGGGTGAGTATCAACAGTTTGGGGAATAACAATAAGAGATCAAATAAGCCCCTGGTTCACTTTTTTTTTTTCTTTAAATCAATCTTTCAACATATTTCCTTAGCTTGATAAGATTATACATTCCTATCCTAGAAACATCTCGTAATTAATTTAGCAGCAAGTCAGTCCCATCCTGAGTTGAACATCCAGAAAAATCTATGGTAACCTCACCTGCTACCCAGTGTTTTGAAAATATTCATATCCTAGACGGCTCATTCGATATTTTCACAATAGCGTCAAGTACTTGGATTATACACGAACTTCATCTTCGACCTTTTATACTCAAAAGAGATACATTCGGGCCTCACATTCAATTTATAAGTGCTTAGATTAAGTGTAAAATTATATTTTTCTACACTCACATACCCTCACACTGGTAAGTCAATTTTGTAGAGGGC